GTTTTCCATGGACAATTTTACCTGTATCTTGGGCCAGCCAGGTACCTTCATCAAAGCAACCAAAAAACATTTCCTTCATATCTCAGTGTGACATTTGGGTGTGATTAATATCCCTAGGTCTCAGAAGGGGTGGAATTAAATATTTTCCCTCCCAGGAATTTGCATCTGCTGAGTCTTCTACGCATCGTCAGAATGAGACAGTTTCATCACTTCTGAGCAAATTCAAAGCTGGAAGAGTTATCCAAGCAATGGGGCAAATCATTTGTTTGGCAAACAAACAAACAAAAACAATTGAAATTCAGCAAATTAAAATCATGCCTATTTACATTCTGTTGTCCGCCTCAAAATTTTCAAAATTGCTGACTTTGGTTTCCCCTGCTATGAAGGGACCTACTACGACATTTGTTAAACGCTATTTCACGTCAGTTGCTTACTGCCAAATGCTGGCTGCCTTGGTAAAATTGTTGGATGCCAAAACGCAGGCAACAAACATGGAACATTTATGGAATATTCAAACATCCAGGGAATATTTGCTATCTCAAAATTAACAAAAGATTATGGCTTGGATCCAAATATTTTATGAGCACAATTGCTTTCACTTGGGAAGTAGAATTTTATCTCTGTCTGCAGCATCCAAACCCTTGGGGGTGTGGGAGACTGAAATGGCTTGCCTACCACTGTGGCGATCACTGCAGATGGTGACAGCAGCCACGAAATTAAGAGACGCCTGCTTCTTGGGAGAAGGGCAATGACAGGCCTAGACAGCATCTTGAGAAGTAGAGACGTCACCTTGCCAACAAAGGTCCGTATAGTTAAAGCCATGGTCTTCCCAGTAGTGAGGTATGGAAGTGAGAGCTGGACCATAAAGAAGGCTGATCGCCGAAGAATTGATGCTTTTTGAATTATGGTGCTGGAGAAGACTCTTGAGAGTCCCATGGACTGCAAGAAGATCAAACGCATCCATTCTTAAGGAAATCAGCCCTGAGTGCTCACTGGAAGGACAGATCGTGAAGCTGAGGCTCCTGTACTTTGGCCACCTCATGAGAAGAGAAGACTCTCTGGAGAAGACACTGATGCTGGGAAAGATGGAGGGCACAAGGAGAAGGGGGCGACAGAGGACGAGATGGTTGGATAGTGTTTTCGAGGTTACCAGCATGAGTTTGACCAAACTGCGGGAGGTAGTGGAGGACAGAGGTGCCTGGCGTGCTCTGGTCCATGGGGTCACGAAGAGTCGGACACGACTAAATGACTAAACAACAACAACCACTGTGGCCACAAGGAAAGCCAACTGGTGGGGACATGGGATGCTAGTAGGTCCTGATAACCCAACTCCATATTTATATCTATGGCCTGCAGACCAAATAAACCAATATAGGCTGAGAAAGTAGATTATAAATTAAGAACAGAATCCATCTGAAATGATGCTCTTTTCAAGTTTTCTTGATTTCAACAGGAGAATTAAAGAAATGTTTCAAAGCCCTCCATTGAAATCAATGGTCTTAACAGTACAGGGGTACCTCGGGTTAAGTACTTAATTCATTCCAGGGGTCCGTACTTAACCTGAAACTGTTCTTAACCTGAAGCACCACTTTAGCTAATGGGGCCTCTTGCTGCCGCTGCACCGCAGGAGCAGGATTTCTGTTCTCATCCTGAAGCAAAGTTCTTAACCTGAAGCACTATTTCTGGGTTAGCGGAGTCTGTAACCTGAAGTGTATGTAACCTGAAACGTATGTAACTCGAGGTACGACTGTACTTTACTTCGGTTGAATCCCAAGTAAGTAAAAGGTTATTAATTGCAATACTTCACAAAAGTATACAAAGTGAGTTTAGAGAAAAATGAATATGAACCATTCTGATGGGTTTACAGTTAGGTGATGCAGCCAAAGTTAAGTATTTTTTTCAGGACCTATTGCATTATATTCATATGTAACTCTCTCCCGTTGATATTTGGTGAATCATTCTTCTTGTTTTTATGCATGCAGTGAACATGTTTGAGAAATTAGCCTAGCATCATTATGTGTGTAAAGAATGTATTAAAATGTGACTGTGTGTGTTCTTGATTTTTTAATGGCATGAATAATTGTATCTTTATTAAAATATTACAGCTGTGTCTGGCATTAAATAATCCTTTACACCTTCTCACCTTTTAGCCATAATTACATTTGTGGAGCATATCACCAGACTGTGTGTTTGGCTGAGCGATTCCCATTCTCCTTTTGTTTTTGTTTTCAGACTGAGAGACGTGGCCGGGGTTTCACAATGCCTTGAATATCAACACCATAAAATCCCTTTACCAATCGTAAATGCATAAATGCAATCATGCATACCTTTCTGAGTTATGAGGTGGTAGCACAGTTGGCAGGCTGGCTTGATGCTTTCTTGACAGGTTAGGTTAAAGGATTAAGTCTAGTCTGTCTTCACTTTGCCCTGGTTCTGACACACTCTAAAAAAAGTTACCGGCTGCCCGCGTGCTTCGCCTGACCTCTACATCTCCCTGGAGTGACAACACTTTCCTTTTTGCTCTCCAAAGGTCAAGGCAGATAACTTGTTGAGCCTCCCAGATACTGCCTTATCAGTGGCTTTTCCCTCCTGGCATCACACTTTGAAATAAATGCACAAACTACTGGAAGGAAAGAAAGGGCGAGATCCAGACAGAGTTAAGCACTTTTAAATGCCGCTGGTTTCAATTAGGAAAGAATATTATGGTTATTAGAAGTTGGTAAGAATAAGACTTAAGTTGTAAGTTTGAAGGTTGTTTACAAGACAAGATGATATTAGATTAAGGTGACATTATTTTAAGAGTGGACGCGGGTGGCGCTGTGGGTAAAAGCCTCAGCGCCTAGGGCTTGCCGATCGAAAGGTCGGCGGTTCGAATCCCCGCGGCGGGGTGCGCTCCCGTCGTTCGGTCCCAGCGCCTGCCAACCTAGCAGTTCGAAAGCACCCCCGGGTGCAAGTAGATAAATAGGGACCGCTTACAAGCGGGAAGGTAAACGGCGTTTCCGTGTGTGGCTCTGGCTCGCCAGAGCAGCGATGTCACGCTGGCCACGTGACCCGGAAGTGTCTCCGGACAGCGCTGGCCCACGGCCTATAGAGTGAGATGGGCGCACAACCCTAGAGTCTGGCAAGACTAGCCTGTACGGGCAGGGGTACCTTTACCTTTATTTTAAGAGTAAAGATTAGGATAAACAAAGAGGGGAAGGATTTGCTGAACTAACAAATTGAACTGGAATACAAAAAGGGAGGGGTGAGGAGGTCCGAGAAACAAGCAAATGAAAGAAAGTGATGGAAAGATGGAATTGTTTTTTAACTATTTTTATTTTGTATTTTGTATTGTATTTTTCTTTTTTTTCTTTTTTCATTTTGTAAAATTCTAATAAATATCTTTTTAAAAAAATAAAAATTAAATGCCGCTGGTTTCAGCGGTTGAGAACAGAGCATGTGCTTAATGCTCCCCGTGATGTGTTTCAATTGCTGACTCCAAGATAAATGGTCAGGGAAGTTCTCTGCCAAAGCCTCTATTCCAGGCATGTCCAAAGTCCATTTCGGGGGCCTAATCCGGCCCGCTGGTCGGTTCAATCCAGCCCCGTGGGGCAGTTTATTTCCTGGGGTTAAATCCTAAGAAATCCTCACCAACTTCAATCCTAAAAAAAAGCTTAAGAACTTTGGGGTAAAATTATAAAAAAACACAACAACTTCAATCCTAAAAAAAGTTCAACAACTTTGGCCAGTCCTTTGGTCGGCCCCCATGGCCCTTCACTACATCAGATCTGGCCCTCTTTGAGAAAAGTTTGGACACCACTGCTCTATTCCTACTCACTCTGTGGCAGAAAGGGTTAAAGCATTCTTGGCTTGGCTTGGCTTGGCTTGGCTTGGCTTGGCTTGGCTTGGCTTGGCTTGGCTTGCAGGGGAACGGCATCAGTGTTGCTGAAGAGCCGGACCTTGCTAGATTCAATATATGCAGCAGCCTAGTGTGGTTTGCTGGCACCCGGGGTGGGTGTGGGTGGGTGCATGCTGGGCGATGGCAGGACGTGAAGAGTGAATGGAGCCAACTGTGCCAGCCCAGCCCTCACCGCCAGTGCTGCCAAAGCGACCCCCTCACCCCAGTGGAGCCAAGCAGGGCCATGCTGTGCCACCTGCCCACCCATTCAGAAATGCTATGTGTGTTTTTTCCAGTAAGCAATTCTTTGTCCCTCTGCAGCCTCCCTGGCTGCTACCCACACATTCCGATGTGAAAAAGCTCCATAGGAGGAGTTGCCTCATGATGTCTTCTCCTACGCTATAATTGCGGTGTGGTCACCTGGGAAGGCCTCAGAATTTGCATCACTGGCAAGTATCCTTTTATTTCATTCTACAAACACCCGTCAGCTGCCTCCATAGTAAGGTAAGCGGATCAAAAACCTTATACCAAACCCAAGAGAATTTCACTGAAGATTTATTTCCCCTTTGATTTCTTTCCTCAGCAACTGAAGCAAAACAAACAAACTGAAAGAGGAAACCTTTTTGACACAGCACGGGTATTACTAGTGGAATTGCATGGGCAGGGCCAATTATGCAAATCTTTCCCACCCAATTGTTGTCATTCCTACCAGCAGGGCAGTGATTGGATGGGAAAGAACCACACAGTTGGTTGGGTTGAGGTATTCGCAGACATCACAGCATTGCCACAGCATGCGGCAGCACCTTTCATGTGGCTGATGGGTTTGTGTGTGTTAAGTTGTAGGTGAACATATCAGACGACACAGCGATTCTTCAACAGCTCTTGTTTATTCACAGGCCAGAACAGAACTGAACTGAAGGGTTCAGCCAGCCTGCTTATATAGAGCTCCAGTACAATGTAACTGTAACAACTTTCTGTAACTATCCAATCACTGAATGTCCCTTTCGATCCCTTATTTACATATGTGGACCTGAGTAAAAACTATCTACAGTATCCCCCTGCTGGCCCAGGGTGAGAACTTCAGTACATAACAGTGTGAAGTGAAACCACCCGGAGACATGTTTTAACTTTCAGTCTTTTGGTCTTCAACTCTTGAGCAGATCCCAAGCAGGTCTGAAAGTAAAACAGACACAAGAACACAGGAACACAAACACTCTCTCTCTCTCTCTCTCTCTCTCTCTCTCTCTCTCTCTCTCTCAGGTACCTGGGTTTTGGTTATAAGACAATTTATAGTCAAGTGAGAGCACTTCTCTGAACGCAATGCAAGTATGCTTGCAGCAGCCAAGAGACCAGATAGCATGGGAGGTGTTGACAAGCTGGAATTCTGCGTTCCATATTCTGCCCTGAACAAAGGCAAAGATGACCTACTGGCTTTTCGGATCGGTCATTTTGGTAGCCAATGTGATATTAGCCTAAACGTAGTTACTTACCAATCAGACGTTAGCAAAGAGAGGCCATGTGTGGAGCTTTGGAAAGGACACAAGGTTTCAGAAAACAATGCAGCGAATGTGCATGTTTTTGTTACTGCTATAACAACTTTGATGCTACCTGAGTAGAAAGGAGATGTTCTCAGCTATCAGTAGCTGTTAGCCACAATGGCTGCTTCTCACCAGCTCCTGGCTAAAGTAGAATACAGTGGTACCTCGGGTTAAGTACTTTATTTGTTCCGGAGGTCCGTACTTAACCTGAAACTGTTCTTAACCTGAGGTACCACTTTAGCTAATGGGGCCTCCTGCTGCTGCTGCTGCACCGCCGGAGCACAATTTC